GAGCTAAATGGCCAGAAAACTCATGCAAGACTATATAGGGTTGAGCATGGATCGGATATCCGATCCGAAACTGGGTTTCGGTTCGGATATCCGTATCTAAAAATTCCCATATTTGATATCCGTATCCGATATGAAAATTTTCGAATATCCGATATCCGAATATCCAAAAATTTCAGAACGGATAGCTCGGATATCCAATATCCGGCCATTTTAATAATATTTAATTTAATGGCAAAATTTAGCCCTTTTAATAAATTTATTTTTAAAAGAAAATTGATATATACGGAGTGTTGAACTGAGAAAAACCAAATTAATTCCGCAACAACTCTACAAAAAAATTAATTCATTGCAACTACTTGAACAAGTAGAAGATCTAATATACCAGAAATTTTTTTAAAAAAAGCAACAAATCATTTTCGCAAATTACAAAACAAAGAAATATTACACAAACCTTCAAACTAATTGACATAAAATACAAAATAAAGAAATTTTAATAGTCATTGAGAAGAAGTTGAGAAGAGAAGTCGTCGCTGGTGGAGCGACCGAGAGTGGAAAAGAAGTGTGGGCCGCTAGTGAAGGAGGGTGTTGCGTGGGAACGATGACAGGGCGGTAGGGTTGCAAACATGTAGTGTTGCCCACTTGACTTTGAGGAGGAGAGATTATTTAGAGATCTTGCAGGAGAAAGCTTTAATTAGAAAGGAGAGAGAGATGATAGAGATCTTAGAGAAGAGAGAAAAGATGGAGAGAAGAGAGAGAAAGAGGGGCGGTGGGTTAGGAATGATATTAGGGTTTGTTGTTTTGGGTATTTGGAGTTTGGGCCTTAGGGGGTATTTGGGGTTTGGGCCTTACAAAGTATTTAAGATTTGCATGTATGTGATTTTTTCGGATATCGGATATCCAAAATTCAATATTTTGACATTCGATATCTGATCCGAAATTGATTTCGGATTGGTTATCCATAATTTTTGGATCAAATACGGATGGGATTTTCGAATTTTTAGATAGTTTTGCTCAGCCCTAAGACTATATGGATCTAGCAGGATAATGTAAGGCCTCACATCAACATTGATGATCCAAAATTTTTGGAAGAAGCAAATAAGGAAGGTTTTGACATGCTGCTAATCTGCCTGCTCAATCTCCGAACCTAAATGTGTTGGACTTGGGGTTTTTAGGGAAATTCAAGCAATTCAACACCAAGAGTTTCCTGAATTAGTTGAAGAGTTGGTTGAAAGTGTTCTGACCTCGTATGCTGATTATGACCCAAGTATCATTAACATGACTTGGCTTCGGTCAATGTATGTAATGGAAGAAATAATGAAATTCAAGGGGGGGGGGGGGGAAACAATTACAAATTAAAAATCCTCATAAGGGCAAGAAAAGACTTCAGCGGTTGGGTCTTCTACCAACCTATGTTGAAGTGTCACATGAGTTGGTCCAAGATTCGATCAATTTTTTTAACAAAGGAATCATAGAAAGGGGTGAATCATCAAATGCCAACATGCTGTGAAAGATCATTAATGTAAGAAAGGAAGTGACTTTTGAAAATTGTTCAGTAAAATTCGTAAGAAGACAACCTTTTGTATCGATGTAAAGGTCTAAATTAGGAAATATCAATTAAGAAAGTTTTTGTAGTGGTGGACAAAAGTAGAATTTTTTGGAAAAACTCGGTTAATTAAGAAAGTAGTTGTAAATTGTAATGGTGGAAAAATGTAAACATGCACTTTGAAATCTATGGGGACACTATATATTTTATGTAAGTTAGTTGTTATTGCATGCATTACTATTGTTAGCATCTTAATTACAGGAGCATATCATACTATAACCTTTATACTTTAATTTTTCATGCAAATCTAACTAAAGTAAGCAACACATATAATCTTCCTAACCTCAAATGAGACAACAAAACGCAACAAATTTATCAAGCAATGCATCACAATCCAAACCCAAAAAAGCACAAGAGTTCCAAGCTAGGCTATATAAAATGATTAAATCAAACAAATCATCATCGTACGATTATCAAACAAACCACTAGGCACCAATCACAAGTAATTTTATTTGGTTGCATACACAAGAGAAGGGGATAGGACATACCTGACCATGTTCTTCAGGGTTGAGTCTCGTCGGAGTCATAATCCATCTTATGCATGAAATCATTCTTCAATGGAGGGATTTCACCCTTTTCAATACAAGCAGCATGCCATACTTTTCTTGAAACTATAACAACATTTAAAAACATAAATTAACAGCTTGAAAACTAATAAAGGAATATAGTTGCACAAATTTATATGATGCAGACTCTAAACTTTTACCTGGTGAATCACTTTGTTGTAATCTTCCATTAAAAGACACCAAATTTCCGATACGAAGGTTACATGGAGTGAAAATGTTAGCTCTCCAGATTTCCTCCGGGGTATCTAGAGCTTCACTCACATTATTTGATGTGTTTTCAATCTTAGGGGAATGGAAAGATGGTTCTCGCCTTTCCCATTAAAGAGGATCATATGGAGGAAGGTCTTATGGCAGTGAGTTAGGAATGAACTCTCACACTGTTGTTCTTCTTGGACCCCTCTTTTTGTGGCATGGTCGTCAGAGTTAGAAGAACCGAAAGAGAAATTGAAAGACTACAGTGCAAAAAAAGGTGAATGTTGCACTCCAGCATGGATGAGACTTTGAACCTTGCGGTTTCCTATGCTTGCAAGCACATCTTGCCTTGGTTCGAGATGAAGCCAAAGGGCCAAATGACGGGAATTTAGGGAGAATCGACGAAATTGAGAGAAAAGCGGGCCAAATCTGAAATTTTGGATGAGAGAGAAAGTGTGATAGTGAAACTAGGGTTCTTCAATGTTCATGTAGTGAAGCTGGAAGAAATTAGGAGAACACTCTAGAAAAATAAAAGAATCCTAGAAAATAAAGTCTATTTGTTCATAAAAGGAAGGAAAAGATTAGTAATAACAATAAATGATGTTAGGTAGTGTGTAGGTGTTTAGCAGTTAATGAGGGAAGTAAATAAGGGGTATAATTGTAAAAAAAATAAAAAAAATAAAAAACTAAAAACTTTCCTTTTATGGTGTGTTGCAAGTATTGTGACATTTCTTTTTTAGGGAAATGTTGCAACTATAAAGAAACGGATAAAGTATTTAATTAATTAGCTACTTAAGCGAAATTATTTACCAAAACAGTTATTTATAAATTCTAATTCCAAAACTAGCCATATTATTGACAACAATTTGACTTTGGTAGTTTTTTTTTTCTCAATTAATTTTTCCTATCAATTTTGATTATTATAACCTAACAACTGTACACCACTACCATTCCCATCACTCCAATTTAAAATTTAATTTTTGTTTTATAGTTCCATTTATTTTTATATATTTTTGTCTGGAATTTTGGATATTCGAATGGTACGATTGTAGGTTTGTTATATCTAACTCCAATTTTTAGAATTATTTTATCCAAGCAACTGAAATTATACAATGACAACGGAATCATAAATTTTCTTTGGATCACTCTCATGTTTATTATATTTATAATAATTATTTATATTTAAATTATACAACGATAATCGACATTACATTCTTGTGTTGTAGGTCTATGATGCATAATACAACATTGGAAAATTTGATTTTAATAATCCGACCTTTGCGCGATCTTATTTTATTAATCTCATCTTTTGATTATTCTACAATAATCCAAACTTGGGGGAAGGGTGTTTTATTCTATTAGGCCAAACAGATCACTCAACCTAAAATAGCAGGTCACCTGCCATGTGTCGCATTTTCATTTGTCTACAAAAATATTTTTCTTTTTTTTAAATATAATTTTTTTATTTAAAAAAAATTTGTTTTTTTTTTCTCCTATCTTCTTCTTCTACCCCTTCCACCTCCATGAAATCACGCTCCCTACTTCTGGATTCTAGCCAGCTCTCCTCCTCGCCCCCACTACCATTTTCAGCCACCTCTCCCCTACCAACCTCCCTTCACCCCTAAAATGGTAAAACGAAATATACACCCCTAAGTTTTCGCTCCTTTAATTAGATCTTTAAATTTCATTGATTTCAATCCAATTTTTAGCTAGAAATCCTAGTTTCTACCTCCAATTCATCGGAACACGCCTTAACTTTGTGAACAATTGTAAATGAATATGAGGAATTAGCGGAATTGATATGAGATTTGATGGATGAAGAACAGTGCTAGAGCTGCGTAGTAGAGTGCGCAGAGGATGAGAATCGAAAAATCCTACGGCTAACAACAATTAGGAGGAGTTCGACGGACAGAGAGTGACTAGAGGGAGGACAAATGGACGTCGTGTAGATGTAGCAGTAACTAGGGGAGGGTGGGGGAGGGGATTCGGGATGGGGGGTATGGTGCGGGAAAGGAATTTGGGTTGGGAGATATGGTGCGGTAAGGGATTTGAGATGGGGTGGGGTAGCCGGCCGGTGCTAGTGCTGGTGTGGCCGGTCGCCGGGAAGGGGTGGGAGTGGGAGTGGTTGGAGGGAAGATGGGTGGTTGGGTGACTACCTGCTGGGATGGTTTTTAACCCTTTTTTATAATTTTTTTATTAAAAAAATGAAAAAAAATAAAATTATTACCTAAAGAACAAGTAGCAGATCAGTTTGGCCTAATATAATAGAAAACCCCTTAAAGCTTGGATTATTGTAGAATAATCAAAAGGTGGGATTAATAAAATAAGATCGTGCATAGGTCAGATTATTTAAATCAAATTTTCCTACAATATTTAGAAACTTTGAAAGAAATTAAAAAAATCCTTCCAAGTACATAATTTGTTAATAATATAGCTAGTTTTGGAATTAGAATTTATATTAGCCAAGTAGTTATTTACCTAATTCTGTCCATCATTTTCTAATTTTGTTTAAAGTGGAATAAAACAATTTTTTTAGGCCAAATTAATCAATTCTTATTTTCTATACTAACGTGGATGATTCTAACGTTGATAAGTAAGATTAGCATATAATAAAGACATACATAATAAGTAAAAGGGCCCAGTATGGGGAAATAATTCCTCAAATTCCATCCCATCATATCACAAATAGGTTATAAAATTATACATCAAAGGGAGTGGTAAAGGTTTGATTTTACAATCCCCCCCCCCACCATCCGTCCTTTTTTTATCACCACAAATGTAGGACTTCACACAATAGAAACAAAATTAAGCATTCAGTTTTTTAATTTTTTTTATAACAAACACATTAAGAATTTACAAGATTTTGCATCTTCAATTAATCCATCAAGCAACTCCAACGGTGGGCTACAAGATATTGTAGCTTGCTTTTTCAAGCAACATCAATATCAAGCTACAAGTTGCCCTAACAATTAGCTACAATACCATGTAGCTTGCTTGATCAATATTTTTAAAAAATAACATAAAATAAAAACTAGCATAATACAACATCACCAATAAACATTTTTTATTCCATGTGTCATCATTAACAATAAATGGATACAAAGAGGTTAGAACACCAAACCTCAATGAATGAAACCTAACTTATAAACATTTTAACAAGAAATAAAACATTCTTTATTAATCCATACAAATATATAAATACATATTGGCCTGGAATATAGACTAAAAGCAAAAAAAAAAAAAATGTAAAATAATGGAAAACTTGACATTTGGTAGCAGCGAAGGCACCTCGTGTCACATTTGCTACCCGTTTAAATTTTTTATTTTACTTTACTACCACCCAAATTCCCTAACTATAGATATCACTTCCTGTTGTCTTATGCCGTTATTGTTTCCGTTAGTGGTGCCCAACCACCGTCCAGCCAGCTCACTGCCACCCAAGCCACTTCACTGCCACCTTCCAGCCACCGCTCCATCTTCAGCCACCCTCATTGCCACCATCCAACCCCCCTTTCCCCCATCAACGTTGCCCCGAAACCCCACTGCCACCCCCTCCCCTCACCGATGATCGGCCATCCCCTTCCCGTCGTAGATAGGGGTGTTCAAAAAAACCCGACCCGGTTGTCCCATCCCGAATTCCCGATGACCCGCAAAAAACCTAACGGGAAATTTTCAAAATTTTCCGTTTTTTTCGAGTCGGGTACCCGTCCCGGTAAAATAGTAATTTCGTGGGCCGAGACATGGGACAAGCTTTGCTAATTTCGGGTACCCGGGTACCCGTTAAAAAAAATAAAATCGTATGAGTCTTCTGCGCGTATTTAATTAAGGCCAAGCCCACTTAACACTTTAACAATTAGACTTAGGTTTCCAATAAGGCAAACTCCTAAAAAAACGCAATCACCTTTCACCTGCTTCCACAATTCTCTCTCTCCTAGGGCTTGGTCTTTCCTCCATTGAAGCAGCTTTGGTGGTTTCGTTCCTCATTGAAGCAGCGTTGTGGTTTCGTTCCTCTATTGAAGCAGCTTTGTGGATCCATCCTCAAACTTCATTAGGTTAGTTTAATTTGTACTATTTTTGTGGTATTTTTGAAGTTTTTTTCATAGTATTTAGTTTAGTTGATATTAATCTAATTATTTTCTTTAACATCAATTATTGCTAGATCTAAATCATTTCGCGGTCTTGCTCATTTTCATCGGTTCACTCAATTTTCTCACTACCTCATGTTAGTTTATTGTAATTTCTGTTCATTATAATTTCTGTTCATTACAGTATTCTGTTTTTGTTTGATTTTTTTTTTTCACTCCTGAAATTTAATTAATTTGTTTTCGATTTTTATTCTATTCTTTTTTATTCTATTTTCATTTTTTCATTCTGTTTTCATTTTTTTTATTCTGTTTTCATTTATATTGCTTGTTTTTATTTATATTATTCTGTTTTTGTATTCTGTTTTCATATGTGGAATTCTGTTATCATTTTGTTGTTCTGTTTTTGTTTCATAATAATTTATATCATATGAATATATGATTACTTAATACTTTATTATACTGTTTTCTTTTTTTAACCAGAAAATGTCAACATTTAAGGATGATTCTGATGACTTGATGGAGACAAATTCAAGTCAAACAGTTGAAGCACGAGATTTTGATGAGGCAGAGGTTTTGGAGAAGGCCCCAAAAACATGGCCTAAGAAGAAAAGAGCAGGGAAGAAACCAAAAGCTGAAAAAGAAGGAGGTAAAAGGAAAAAAAACCTCTAATGCTTGGGAACACTTTAAAGTAATTAAAACTGACCCAAACCATACTAAATGTCTTTATTGTGGGGCAATAATTGGTTGTGATCCAAAGAATGGAACTAATGGCATGAATCGACACACTGATAGGTGTAAAAAATCTCTATTTTACAAAGATAAATCTCAAACTATCTTAGATTTAGAGTCTAGGACAAAGATTAATACTGATGGGAGTGTCCAAACTGTTAATGTTCCTAAATTGTGGAGATTTAATCATAATGAGATTAGAAAAGCACTTGCTAAGATGTTAATTGTAGATGAGTTGCCTTTTGCTTTTGTTGAACGTGAAGGTTTTTGTTAGTTTTGTAAAGTTGTTGTTCCTGAATTTGTTACTCCCTCGCATGCTACCATTACAAGGGATTGTTATGGTCTTTTTTTTTTATCAAAGGAAAAAGTTAAAGAATTTTTTCAACAATTTGTCTTCTAGAGTATGTCTTACTACAGATACATGGACTTCGGGTCAAAACTTGTCATATATGTGTCTTATTGCTTATTTCATTGATGATGATTGGAAATTGCATAAAAGAATCATTAACTTTTGTCCTGTTGCTGGTCATTCTGGGGAGCTTATTGGTAAATCTGTTGAAAAATGTTTGTTAGAATGGAATTTGAAGAGGGTTATGACTGTAAGAGTTGACAATGCTAGCTCAAATGATATGTCTATAAAGTACTTGAAAAAAATCTTTAATCTTTGGGATGGGTGTGTGTTGAATTATGAGTTTTTGCATATGAGATGTGCCGCACACATTTTGAATTTGGTTGTTAAATATGGCTTGAAAGATGTGAATGTTTCTGTTTTAAAAGTCCAAGCTACCGTGAAATATGTGAGGTCTTCTCCTTCTAGGCTTCAGAAGTTCAAGTCTTGTGTTGTAGAAGAGAACATCACTTGTAAGGGTCTTGTTTGTTTAGATATTGAAACAAGATGGAATTCCACCTATTTGATGCTTAAGACTGCTTTAGTGTTTATGAAAGCCTTTAAGAATATGAAAACAAAGCTCTCTCCTTACACTAAAGAGCTTATAAAGCAACCGGTGGGAGGTGCTCCCGATGATGAGGATTGGAATAAAATTCAAAGTTTCTTACCTCTTCTTGAAATTTTTTATAATGCTACTTTGAAATTGTCCGGATCCCGTTATGTGACGGGAAATACTTTTGTGGAAGAGATTTATGATATTGGGTACACCATTTATGACTGTGATAGTGATCCGAATGATGATGTTAAGAATATGACAAAACAAATGAAATTGAAATTTGACAAGTATTGGGCAAATGTTCATAAAATTAAAATCTTGATGTTCATTGCATTGATTCTTGATCCAAGGAATAAGTTGAAGTATACGGAGCATATTGTGCGTAATTCTTATGATGTTAGCAATTCCTATATTTTGTGTCAACGTATTCAAGATACATTAAATTCATTATATGATTGTTATGCACAAAAAGTGGGGTCATCTTCTTCAAATATTGCCTCTACTAACCAAAGTGAAAAGGGTGGGAAAGAACAAAAAAAGGGTTCTAACAATGTATCTCGATTGAGGGATAGTTTTGTAAGGGAGATTGGGAATGATTCATCTTCCAAAGGAATGACCGAATTAGAAAATTATTTAGGGGATAAACTAGAGCCTAGTGATGAGGATTTTGATATTTTGGCATGGTAGAGTGCATAAGGAAAAACATATCCAATACTTATGACTATGGCTCGTGATATTCTTGCTATTCCGGTTTCTTCCGTATCTTTGGAGTCCGCTTTTAGCACGGGAGGACGTGTTCTAGATTCCTTTCGCACTTCTTTGAGCACAAAAATGGTAGAAGGTCTTGTTTGTGGCCAAGATTGGATGCGTAGTTCTAATGTCCCTATTACTATAGAGGAAAGCTTGCTTGAATTAGAAAATATGGAAGAAGAAGGTGATTTTATAACTTTATATATTACTTTATTTTACTACTTTACTATATATAATATATGTGATATGTAATTATTTTATTGCATTATTTGTGTTTTGTAGGAATGAAAGACTTGGCTTTGGAGCAACCAACGATTGTTATTGATGAGACAATGGAAATATCAGATCTCACAAGTGATTGAATGTTATGCAACATAGGTTGTTAATTGTTAACTTAAACATGAGTACCTCTTGTTGTAATCTGTATTAGCAAAGATCCTTTGATTTGAGACTTTATGGTGTCTTCTGAATTGGACATGTATTCAGATTTGAGACATGTTCTGCTGTCCATTGGTGTCTTCTGGACATAAATTAAAAAATTGCAGGTACTTACTTTGCAAGTTTGCAGGATATACCGATATACACTATACAGGCAGTTGGGCATACGAGTTGTATTGTTTATTGTTTAGTGTTTACAGCAGGTTTTTTTATAAAAAATAACAGCAGGTTTTTTTTAAAAAAAATTACAGCAGTTTTTTTTTTTTTTTTAAAAAAATACAACAGGATTATTATTAAATATACAACTTTCCTTACAAAAATACAAAAGATTTTAGGTATAAACTTATTTAAAAATAAATAAATAAATAGAATCCGGGTACCCGTGTCTCGTCCCGGATAATTCGGGTACCTGAATACCGAGTACCCGAATTATCCGGGACGAGACACGGTCCGACTTATCAACTACTCGGATCTGAACACACCTAGTCGCCGGCGCTAAGCCTTTCCTTACTGGCGACAACTAACCACCTCTACTGTTTCGGGGTTTTTGGAGTCCATCGGGAGAGTTACAATCCTAAGTATGCGCGCCTGACGTCTGCACCTGCAAAAACCACGAAACTCTGGTTGGGTTGAGTTCTGCCTCCGACGATCAAGTTAGTATGATTCCGGATGGGTGAAAGTGCGGAAAGTAAATGGGTTTTTCTCCCTGATTCAGAGAGATTCCACAATTAATATTGCTCGGTTTTTGTGTATGTATTTATGAATGTTTGTGTGTCTGTAATAAATGAGAAATTTCCTCTATTTATAGCAGATGAAGATCTACTCCCCCATTAGGGTTACAATGCCACGTGTCAGCATTCGATTGGATCCTAATGGGCCTTTGTAGGGCTGCCACGTGTTAGTACGGTATTGGGCCACGTGGCATGGGGGGGGGGGTTTACCCCAAATATTTGCCCCTCACAGGTGTGACGTGGCTTTCCACGTGGCGCCTGTGACACGTGTCACATTCCGAGAAGGTGACGGTTCGTCTCCTTCCCTCCACTTTTTTTTTATTTTTTAATTTTTTATTTTTTTATTTTTTAATTCGAATTTAAATTGGAGGAGGAGGTGACGGTTCGCCTTCTTCCCCCTTCCTATAAATTGGAGTCCTCCTCCTTTCATTTGCTACTTTGCAATTTTTCACAAAAAGTACTTGAGAGAAAAGAGCTCTAACACCGGCTGCTCACTCGTGCAACCAGCTGGTACCGTCCCATAGGTACCGTCTTGGGTATCTTGGAGTAATCTTCTGACAAGCACACATTAGGGCGCGCTTTAAGGCATATAAATGGGTGATTTTGGATGTATTTAGGCCCGTTTTGGTCGTTTATTGCCTTGTTACACTCGTTTCCTTCATATTACGTGCTTCACGGGTTTCGGTCTGTTTTTGGTGTGTTAACAGGTATAGTTGACCAAGTTATGTCGAGTCCCGAACCATTGGTGCGTAATCAGGCTATTATCGATCCTAGTCCACCAAGCTAAGGCTTTGCTGCGGTTCTCAAGGCCTTGAAAGGCAAGTTAAGTAGCAGGCAAGGCAGAACAGTTCACAAATATGACACCTGTTCACTATTTTGCTCACAACTTTCGGTATACAAATGATAATGGAGTGAATCTAATTGCATTGGAAAGTAGACTTAAAGAGCTTTCCAACGATATATTGCACGCCTCAAACGGAGCTCTGGATAAGAAGTTGTGACTGTTTTAACAAGACCAAAGTGCCTGCAACCTTCCTGCCTATGCTGCACGGCCGTGCCACTTTTAGCACGGCCGTGCCAGGCATTAGCACGGCCTTGCCAAGACAATTTCCATGCCCGTGCCAGTGTCAGATTCAGCACGGCCGTGCCAGATTCAGCACGGCCGTGCCAGGCATTAGCACGGCCGTGCCAGATTCAGCACGGCCGTGCCAGGCATTAGCACGGCCGTGCCAGGCATTAGCACAGCCGTGCCAAATTCAGCACGGTCGTGCCATAATTGAAGATATTGTGGATCAGCTACTGCCATGCTTGCACGGCCGTGCCACTTCCAGCACGGCCGTGCCGATTCACGAAGGGCAGCCTGCGATTTACTTTCCGATTTAAAACATATATATATAGCCCGATTGTAAGGGTTAAGAGAGAGTTTTTAGAGATAGTTTTTGAGAGCCTTTGTAGAGAGTTATTGGAGAACGTTCTTAGTTTTAGATATTCATTAGTTTTCTTAGAGATTATTCTAGCGATTTTCTTGGATTGATTTGAAGCAAGATTTGCGAAGATTCTTTGTACTATTCATTGACGACGGATATCAAAGTTCTGAACTTTTCCATTGATTCGCATCAATACAATTGGTATTATTCATTCTTGTTTATTAATCAAGCTTTATTATTCCTTAATAAAAATTCATGTTTATATCTATTATGCTTTTGGAATTCATTATTGCTTTGATTATGAATATGTGTGAGTAGTCTCCTAGCTAGGGTTTCGGGATGAAACCCGACCGAGGTAATCTATGTAATTGAGGATTGATTTTGATAAACGGATTGTGATTAAATTGATTATATGCGATTGCATGTTAATTCATTATAATAGGAGTAGCTAACCTAGAATCTTGAATTTGATTGCATGATATTCTTGATTTGAACAAGAGATTGTGAATTGAGTATTTCATTATTGAATGTGGTTTGATTATGTATCGAGTAATGTTAAGTGCATGAGAAATCCAAGCTTAGTATTGCCCGTTGTCTTCCTATCAAATGATATTGATCAGACTTATAGTCTTTGCATATCCCGTTTGTCTCTGTGATTCCTTGTTGCGTAGTTACCGATGGTTTGGTGAATTCCCGTTCTCCCTAGTGTCTTAGTTTATTGATTTATTCCATCTTATTAGTAGTATTTTAGAACACCATTTTCCATTGATTTCGAACTAGCTTAGGTTTAAGATTGATTTGCAATTACTCTCGTTCCTCGTGGACCGAACCTTTATTTGCCATTGTACTTGGTTATAGGGTGTTCTTATAAGTATTGTTTGATTGAGAGTTAGATTGTAGCGACCGATTTAACCCTCGTCAAAATGGCGCCGTTGCCGGGGAGCGGTGTTTGTTAATTGCTTTTTGATTTCTTGAGTCTAGTTCATCATAAAAAAAAGCACAAAAAGATTTTTCCCTTTTGGCTACACTTGTAGCCCTGCTATTTAATTGGTTTGGTTAGTGTGTATGCGCAGGTCTAAACAGAGAGAATTAATACCCTTCGATCCAGAAATCGAAAGAACTTTGAAGAGGAATCGTAAATCTCGATTGACGTCATCAAACTCTCAAGGAAAGGAACACAACACACAACAGGTTCCAATGGAAGACATACCGCGCCAACCTAATCGGCCAGCACCACGACCCCTTAAGGAGTTGGGAACTCCTGGGGCGTATAGAGCTTCAAGTGGGATTGCTCCACCCACTACTGAGGCCAATGATTTCGAGATCCGGCAAGCTATGATCACCCTCATCGAGAGAAGGCAGTTTAGTGGTGCCAAGCATGAGAGCCCTTTGGCTCATTTGAACGAATTTGAGAAGTACTGCAATACCATCAAGGTTAATGGGGTGAATCAAGAGTTCGTGAGATTGAAGCTTTTCCCCTTTTCACTTATTGGGAGAGCTCTCGAATGGTTAGAGAAGGAGGTGAATCCGAACTCTCTACACACTTGGGATGATGTCACGACAGCATTTTTGGGAAGATTATATTCTCAAAAGAAGACGGCCGATGCTAGAGCCTTGATTCAAGGGTTTCGGCAAAGGAGTGTGGAGTCGATCTATGAAGCATGGGAAAGGTACAAGGAGTACCAAAGAGAGTGCCCACACCACGGAATCCCAACATATCAAGTTTTACAGATTTTCTATGGAGGATTGAGTCCTTAAGGGAAGACCAGTTTGGATGCGGGAGCAGGTGGCCCAATAATGAACAAAACTGAAGAGCAAGTCATAGATATTATCGAAGATGTGGTACGACACCACATGGATTGGCAAGACGGCGAGCGAGATGCTGTGAACAAGAGTGGAGGAGCGGTCTATTCAGTGGACCACCTCAATGCCATTAGCAACAAGACATCACAAATTACGAACCTCGGGAAGGAGATGTCAGTGATTAAAGCCAAGCTCGATTCTGTGCCATTGCAAGATCTTCCCTCCCAATCTAAGGGGAGAGGTATGAATCCTAATCCTTCCGTTTCTAATATGCCTGTAGGATGTATTTTCTGTGAAAACTGTGGGTCTTATGATCATTATACTAATGCTTGTAATTTTGATCCCTCATATGATCCTAATAATAATGATGGTAATAGATATAATAATGAACAGGTCAATGCTATGTCTTATGATAACGGACCTAGGAATGACAATAATAGATATCTGCCACCTAATCAAAGAGGGAACAATTATAATCAGGGAGGTAATGATTTTGATTATCAAAACCAGTGGGAAAATAGGGGCCAAAGGGACCAAAATTCCCAAGGACCCTATAATCAACATGGTGGTTTTGGAAATCAAAACCAATACCAACATGGTATTCAAATGAATCATAATTCCCAAGGGCAATTCAATCAAGGGGGAAACAACATTAATAACAGGGGAAACTGGAATAATAATAAGGGGTACTCTAATCAAAATACCCAACAATCTAATGTGCGTGGTTCCCGAGCTACAAATGATAATTATTATGCTCATGGACCACCACAGAGATCTAGCTTGGAGGAAATTATGGAGTCTCAGGCCAAAATGTTCAACACTTTTATGTCCACCACTGATAAAAAGTTTAGTGAAGTGATGACACATAATAAGATGCTTGAAACCCAGATTTCTCAGTTGGCTAGTGCTATAAAAGATAGGGTTGGAGTTTCAAAAACTACCGCCTCAAGGTATTGACCCTAAAAACTCTGTAAATGCTATCACCACTAGGAGTGGAAAGACATTGAGGGGGAGCGATGAAGTAGTACCCCCTAGGAGTCAACCTGTGACTCCACCTATCACTGATAATGTTGTAGGAAGTGAGGATGAGAGGACCAGAGATAAAGATA